CGCTCTGTCTAGTTTTCAAAACAACTTCTCCACTCCCTGCTGAATTTTTGTCAGCATTTTCCTATACACTAAAATCTTCTAAAAAGTTTATTACAAATTGCAAGGTTGTATCCTACATCATTCCGAGAGACTTGGTGTCGATTTTAAAACATTTTGGCAGGCTGTTTAACATTAACCCAATTAAGATTGTCTCAAGTAGATCACTCACTGAACTGCTAGCTGGTAGAACAAATAAAGACACGATTGATATATGGACACATATTAAGGAAAATTCAAACTCCAATAGAAAGCCTCTCTGTCCTCGCGTTGGGGGGAAAAGGAGAAGAAGAGAAGGAAAGGCAGGAGAAACAGGCTAGTGAAGAGAGCTTAAGAGTCTTTCAACTAAGGGAAAGCAAAACACAAGTAAAGCCAGGAAGATAGATGAGTGATATCAGACACGTCCATTATATCATTGTATAAATGACATTGATTCTAATATCTGTTCCTAATGCTCAAAAAGGTACTAAGACGCTTCTGAAGCTACATCATTTATCTTCAGTAGTTTCTGGACTTTTCATGGAAAAGGTCTAGAAGAAGAAGCAGTTTTATGAGACAATTTACCCAGTAGGTAAGGGGTAGGTAACAGAGGTGGGATTCACTTAACTTCCCTACTGGTTCGCAAATGTGAGTGCATGTGCAGTAGTCGCACATTATGTCAGGGCAGGTGGGCGGAGCCTCCCACAGCCGCAGCTACTGTTTCGCACGATCCGGACAGAACCGGCTGAATCCCACCACTGGTAGGTAAGGACATCATCCTTCAGTCTAGTTACTGAAGTAAAATTGGAGGCAGCAAATGGGGCAGGAGATTCAATGCTAGCATAATATTTAGTTGGCTCAAGGACTGGTGCATTGTATTGTAAGGAAACTACTGGACAGGTGCCCTTCCTTTCTTTGCTCCTTCTACTAATATTGTATGGCTTTAATATACTGTATTGGAGGCAACATATTATGTAATCAGTTTATATAATCCAATTTAAAGAATCTCTATTCTAAAGTTGTCAAATTACTTCACATAAAACACTTGGAAATACTAATTAGGAGGGCAATCAAAAACTTCAGTATAGATATTGATTGGCAGATCAGTGTTATGACTATGTTTGATATAACACCTTGCAGAAAGCAGCACTAATTTTTGCTATTATTATTTTTATAAAGTTAGAAAAATGATTTACTTTAATGTTGCTGTATTTGCATTATATGCGTGTATATGATTTATTCTAGAAGACTTGAGCAATCTAAAATGTCTGAGTTTATTTGTTTTAAAATGGATTAGAGCTTGATAAAATGGGGAAAAGAGGGAGAGACTGTAGAGCAAGTGTGGCTTAACATTATAACTAATTTTATATTGTTTTTACTGGGCCTTATGATGAACTTATGTTCATGGACATCTGCAGTGAGGCCAAGGGGCAAGTGATATCAGAATGCTTGTGATGGTGTTGTACAAATGACATAAGCTACACACTGTATATCATTCATGCAATTATACAATTAATGCAAATTAATGTATAAGTTGTATACTTATGTCAGCTGCATGATAATATTTTTGTGGCTTCTACTGGATATTGATGACCCCAGCAAGAAGAATTCTGGAAAAGGTACTTATTCACAGAGTTTTGTTTTTATGGACCTTCAAGTCAATCTTAATTCCAGGTGACTCCTCTGGACAGTTACTTACAGTTTTCATGGTAACATTTTGGAAATAATTTACCTGTACTTTCTTCCAAAATGTCAGTGTGACTGGCCCCAAATCACCCAACTGCCTCTCTGGACCCTCCACTCCTAGTTAAACTACTTTAACCTCTATACCAAACTGGTTTGCATGCTTCATTCACTGACTTAGATCACACATCTCTAAAAAAGGGGATCAAATAGGATATCCCAAGTAGGAATATCATTAGTTGTACTAAAAGAAGAAGAAAGCTTTTTATTATATGAGTTAACATTTAAATTGAAGATTTGGGTAATTGTGAATTCTACAGGATATTCTTCACATTTAAGATTTTACTCTAGAGACCATTTTCTTAAATTAAGAGTGGTAAAGTCCCAGAGTAGATAAGAGTAAGCTTAATGAGAATAAATCTACTTACTTATACTACGTACTCATTAGAAGATATCTAAAAGCACTAATGTTACTAGGTAGGTTAAACAAAACATGGGCGAACAGAGAGCTCATTGCTCCTGAATGTGTGATGAATGTGCAGTAAAAGAAAATCAGCCATTCTTATTCTTAAATGTTAAATTGTACCTGTCAAACCTATTGACTATGTAATAGCTGTTATCTCTTTGGCATCTTAATACCTTTTGTACTGATTGCTACTAGGAGTGCTGACTCCTTCTGTGAAATATGGACAAGTTGTCTAGCAGTTAGCATCTGTTTCACCCTATTCCACTTTATAGACACCCATACATTGTTCTCTAAACATAAATATATATATATATTTAAAGGATTCAGTGTCTTTAAACCCAGATTAATGATAAATAGGAATCCATGGCAGAGGAAACAAATGGAAGAAGGAGCTCATGGTGGATGCAAAAAACCAGAAGATTTTAAGAATACAATTGGAGAGAAAAATCCAATATGAAGAAAAATACAGGTCAACAAAGAAGACAATATGGTCTTACAGACACAAACAAAACTTAATAACAATCTTGAAAACAAGAAAAGACATATATAGGAAATGAATACTGGAAACCATTCCATGTCACAAAAGAAAAATATAAACCTCCCAGAACAGCAGAGTTGCTGTCAAAAAAAGAAAAAGTTCAGAACACTTAAACTGAAGAAAAGTATCAAGCATGCTGCCATATATTAAATGCCAGTCTTGGGTTATCTACACTTTCATTCATGATCTGGATGGAGGATTGCTTATCATATCTGAAGCTCATCCAAAATTGGTTAGAATAGCTCAAGCAGACACAACATTTGAAGAGCTTTGATTAGTTGGGAAAATGAGTTGAAAGTGACAAACTGAAATCTAACAGTAAGTGAAAATTTACAATAAAAGTCACATGCAGAATTATAGGATTAAGAATACATGCTTTGGAATACTAATATTTTAGAATGGTAAATACTTGCAAATTGAATATGAGCTATAAATGGGATAAGGCTGTAAAGAAATAGATGCAATTTTTGTCTGCTTGAAAGGAAATATAACTGGCCAGTCCTCATTTCAAATACTGTGTCTAGTTGCTGGATACCATTGTTGAAAATGGTTTGGAATTAATTCCTATAACTCTGTGAAGAGAGATTGATGAAATAGAGCATATTTACTCTTGGAAAAAGATAACTAAGAAATAATAAGATAATATTCATGTAAAAGTATGTTTCATAGAAGCCGGTCAAAACACGTTCTTTCTCACTTCATAGTGCATGACACTGAACAATGAATTGAATGATGTGAAGGCAATTCTAACTGAATGTTAGAAAATGTGTCCTAGGCAAAAAAAAAAAAAAAGCCATTTAAGAGTGGAACTATTTACACAGCTAGGTGGTTTTCTAACTTTTCTCCCCAGATGTGTTCCAGGTTGTGTGCTAGACAATCATCAGATCAAGGGTGAAATTCAGCAGGTTCTGACAGGTTCTAGAGAACTGGTAGCGGAAATTTTGAGTATTCGGAGAACCGGCAAATACCATCTCTGGTTGACCCCAGAGTGGGGTGGGAATGGAAATTTTGCAATATCCTTTCCCCAGGAGTGGGGTGCAAATGGGGATTTTGCAGTATCCTTCCCCTGGAGCGGGGTGGGAATGGAGATTTTGCAATATCCTTCCCTGGCCATGCCCACCAAGCCACGCCCACAAAACTGGTAGGGAAAAAATTTGAATTTCACCCCTGCATCAGATTGCTTTATTTTGAGCTAGGAGTTGGACTCAATTGGATGGCTGAATGGCTTCTTCCCACACAAACACATCATGATTCTCAAATAATACATATTCAATCTTCATCTCATAGAACTAACAGAATTCTAAATATAAGTTTAAAGAAAAGCAATATGCTGCCTGGAACAAATCTTTTATTTGAGAATTAACAGAAATGAGAAATGAAGCAATATGTAAACAATCCTAAACTTCTCTAGATTGGATACTTAGCTGCCTTGTTGTCAAAGCAAAACTAGAAAAAAAAAAGTTAAGGTTTACCTTAATATATGAATTTTAAGGCAGGGACAATCTAACCACAGTCTTGTTTATCACTCTGATACACTAATTTGCTGGAAAATCTTGATTGCAAATTGTGCTGCTACCCTGCATTTGGATCCAAAGTTTTGAATGTGAATTTTTTTTTAAAAAAAAAAAGCTCTTACCTTTGCAAAACACAATTTTCAACCAACTGGTCCCATTTATTGCTATCATTTGATGCATATCTTCAGCAGGACCACAAGAATATGGTATGTTGAAATAGTACTGCAAGGAGGAGGATAAATTAAAAACATAACTCTCCATTTTATTGAGGCAGTGGGGGCTGTGGGGGAGAGATTGCCAGCTGTTTAAAAGACAAATATTGTCTGCATTCTCTTGTGCCAAATCAACAAAACACATCACTGTGATAATGTCATGGTTTCTTATAAGTCATTTCTCAAATGCTATTATTTCTTCAGATTTTTATTGTTTTTTCTAGTTCAAAGTCCCTGACTTGAAGATAAATATTTGGGCTAAAATAAGCTTATCAGTGGATATATGGCAGCCATTCTTAGAACTTTAACACCCTATAAGTCTATTTAAAAATAATACAGATGAATTTGCTTTGTTTCATAGAATAAAAGGAGCTTTATTTGGCTAACACTGAATAATAAGCTTACTTTGAATATCAGCATTTAGCGAGCGTTGCAGCTCTCTACTCAAATCTTTTATCTTGAAAAAGAACCATAATTATTATGCCACATTACTTTCAGAAACGTCAACTTGGCAGCCTGATCCAGAAAGTTACATTCAGATGATGTTGATTTTAAATGGCAGCTTTAAAAGAAAAGCAATGTAGTCATCACAGCCAACTTGGTTATTGATGTCCCTTCCCGTAATCTTTTATTCAATTGGGTAAGGAAATTTTTTACACCATCTCTGTAGGATATCAGATGAATTATATTTCAACTATAGCTATTATTCTATGCATCCGGAGTCACTTATTTATTTATTTAAAAAACTTAAATATTGCCATTCATCTGGTAAAACTAGCTCATCTCATAATTGCTTAAGACTTTCCAATTATGTCAACTGAATGATCAAGTAGCAGGTATTATTCTTTCACTGTGTTATATTTATCAGTTAATGGACAATGTGTTGGTGGATTAATGGTGGGAATAAGTTAAGAACCATAAAGAACCATATCACACAGGAAGGTGGAACAGTGATTTTTCCAGAGTTCTGGGACATTTCTCCTTCTCCTTCTCCTCCTCCTTCCCCTTTTCCCTTCTCCCTTCTCCTCCTTCATGGCTTACAAAGGAATTTTCCTGTGCTTTTTCAAGACTTAAATGGCACTCCTTATTTTGATGTTGTTAACACACGTTTACCTTCTCTATCTTTAACCTAAATATTTTCTTTGACATCTTTTGCTTTAACCCTTTTCAGCGGTGTAACCAATGTTTTAATAAACTAAAATTAAATCAGACTATTAAGGTACAGACTGGAATGAATGTCGTAAGATCCACATTATAAATCTCTAATAATATATGTGCCAGTAAATCTATAACAGATCCATGCCATTCAAATTAAATAGTCCCCTCCCCCCAGTCTGAGCTTTCTCCAGTTTTATAAATTAAATTGTCTATGATTTCTTGTAATGTCAACAGTTGTGTCATTTTCTTTTGTTACTTCTTGATGTATATCTTCTATTTCAGTATTTCTCAGATAATTAATAATTTGAAGGTCTGTGACAAATATCTTCATTTTGCATAAATATATGTAGAATTTTTTTAAAAAAAACTTTATTAGTTGCAGATAGACAGATCCTGTTTCAATATGTCATAAACTTATGTTCCAGAAATATAATTTATTTGTTTCTGTTGTTTCAATCAGTGAGAGAATAGATTTCTAGCTTTCTTTCCTAAGTCTCAAAATTCTCAAATAGTTCTGATTGAAGATGAAAATGTTCCAAATATCATTCCAATTAAAAAAGAGAAATGGGTTGAATGAATGCAAGTCAATGGCAATTATGAATGAAGTATATTATGGTTTGGTTATACAGCAAGAAAAAAATGAGAATTGAATCACCCCCCCCCCCCAAAAAAAAAAACCTGAAGAAAAAGTAAATAGGTCAGGAAAAAGGAGAAGATCAAGGAAGTCATGGTCGGATGAGGGTTTGTGAGCTGCTCAGAGAAAAAGAAAGGAGAAGTTTGAATACAAAAGATAATCTCTGAGGTAAGTAATATAATGGAAGCAAGGATGTTTGCAATGATAAAAAGGTAAGGAGGTCACAATGTCAGTAAGAACAAAATTTAGATATAATTCCTTTTCTTATCTCGTGCCTTTAATTTCTTTAGTATACTATTTCTGTCTTTTTTGTGATTTGCATAATTTTACTTACAACAAAAGAGAAGAATATGATGGATATGTATGTATGTATTTATTTATAAAATTTATGGGCCACTTATCTTACCACAGGCTAACTCTGGGCAGCATACAGTCATAAAAATCTATCGATATACATTAAAACATAAATATATTTGTAGGAAGTTAGCGCCCACCCCTCTCCCAGAAAAATGGAATATTCTGGGAAATATTAAAAATGCAGAATATTATACCTCCCTGGAGAAAAGGAGAAACATGTTTAAAGACATAGCAGCTCCCTGTCCCCCACTTCAGCTCCAGGGTGATGGGATTAAGACATGGCCTCCAGAACATAATAGGATTAGCCTCTACCCATCTAACAACAGAACTCACCACATGGCACAAACAGGCCCCTTCATTGCATCACTCAGCAAGATTCAACCAAGCCTGGGACACAGGCAGCCTACAAAGTTAGCTAAGACCCTGGCCTCCTGGGAGTCTGACAGCCAATGCAATACATTTCTTGCACAGGAACAGGAAGCTCCAAGGTGGGTCCAAGAGAGGGTATAAACTCTCTCTCTCTCTCTCTCTCTCTCTCTCTCTCTCTCTCTCTCTCTCCCATGTGCTTTTTTGCCCAGGACCTCAAACCATGTGGTCCTGTCCTCCATTAAACCATCTTTCCAAATAGCCTCCATGTTTTCAGTGTCTTTCTCCCCACTTGGAACTGAATCCAGATGGACATTTCTTCCAACATATTAAAACCAAAGATTAAAATATAAGAACACATGGAGAGAGTGAGGGCAGAGTGGAGGAAGGTGGGATCTATTATTACCCAGTCAACCACCTCCACTGTGCTGTTCTCTCATTGGGGCCCCAAGCCAATTGGTATTTAGGCCCTGACAAAAAGATAGGAGGGTTGGTACCATTTTTCTTATATCAGAAATAAAAACTAATTATATTTAACATATTATTATTATTTAATCCATAATCACGGGTACAAAAACTGAAAACAAATATTTTTTAAAAAAAATCCCTGAAAACATACATATTTGATTCCCCTTCTTCAATTAAATGGAACTGGATTATGCCCTGAATAAACAACATAAATAATATAATTTTCAAAATTATAATAATTTAAGAATTTTTCAGTTGAACACACATAGGACTACATACTTTCTTTATTGTATAATCTCTAATAAATATGTTAATTCCTTTGCAAACAAGAGAATACTGTTTGTAGGCATTGCTTGGAGGTTCTGTTCATTGTTTAGTTGTTCAGTTGCTTCCAACTCTGTCAGGATTGTCTCTCTCAGGAGCTGCCTCTTTGCATTATTACATGCTCATATTCATGCTCTCAGCCTTAGTATCTAACTATCTTGTCTTCTTGCTGCCTCTTTTCCGATTGTCTTAGATTTATATTTCTTGCTTTCCCGCTATGTTCCTAAAATGTTTCAACTTCACTTTCATTGTGACTGCATCTGGTAAGTTGTTTGGTTTCATTTTATCTAGTATTTCATGATCTGTTCTTCTTGCTTTCCAAGGTATTTGCAACCATTTTCTCCAATGTCATAGTTCAAAAGCATCCATTTTTCTTCTGTCATACTTGGTGATGGTCCCGCTTCCAGAGTCACATGCTGGCACAGGAAAAATCATGCACCTGACCATTTGCTTTTGTCGTCCCAACAACTATTTGTCCTTGCTTAACTTCCTCAAATGTCCTAATATTTTGACCCCCAATTTGAATTAGACTTGCCCCTCACTACCCTTTCTAACATCTACCAGGTCAGTGCACAATGTCTACCTCAATTATCCCTTCACTGATCCAAAACACTACATCAAGGACAACTGCTGAGGATTCAATCACTAAGATCATTTTTGAACTGATTCTGCATGTATGATTCACATCCCACACTACGTTCTTTTACATAAATAAGCTCTGAAAAGCTTTAAACCCTCTTTTTGGACATGACTGCTAGGAGGCAATTTGCACTGAATTGTGATTTTGAACAGTTCAAAGTAGAGCGTCATGGAGATTTTGGGATCAGGATGAGCAAAGTTAGACTCATCTGGTGTACTTAAAGTGAAAGAAAATGGTTCCAAATAGCTCCTACTTACCCTGGTTCAGCCTTCATCCTGACTCAGAATGTATTTTTAGTGAATAACCCAATCGGATACCTTTAAAACTATAACCCATAGTGGTGTTGCAGCTTATTTACATTCTCTGGAATTTAATGCACCATTTTTCTTCTTGAATCATGGAGTGTTCAAATACATTTAAGACAAAGCATATTTCTCTCTGGTTTTCACCACTGCCCTTGAAAAGCCAAATGATTTTTAAGGTAGGCTCTAAATCTTCTTACATCCAGCAATGCTGCTGCCTTTAGCTGCTAAAACAGCAAACGGAAATAAGGATACACACATTTTCAAATGTTATATTTTCTCTCCTGGGAGTGGCTGCCTTTTCCAGAAGAAAGAAAATGCCATAACTTCTGAGGGAAGAAAAAAATATGGAAGGAGAATTAAAAGAAATGCTCCTTTCAGTGCAGAGTGGGAATTGTAAGATCAATAGAGCCCTTAGAAAACTGATTAAAAGTGTAAATCCAGCAGAAAGGCTCTTTAGCAATGAATGGATCCCTCTAAAAATAAATTCTACTCTAAAATTCATGTCTGCAGATTGGATTGGAAAGATTTTCAAAGAAAAAAAGAGATAGAAAGGATAGATGGCATGATAAGATAAAATCTAGCTATACTTTGATGGGGCAAAGTAGTTAATCATCTTTCAACAAAGATTGGTGGGATTTCATTGTTTGCATAAGAGGTAAACATCCTAGCAACTGCTTGTGTCAAACGTTATAGCAATTTAAAAGCACGTTGTTGGCCCTCTCACAAAATGAATGCCACGGGGAGATCATCTATTTAAAGCAAACAAACAGAGAGCTGCCAGCATCCAGTTGCCAAAAACCAAAATATAGAGTCCTAGTACATTTTCCTTTTTTGGTCCTCCATGAGACACCTTATTAAGTGACAGCCAGAATTCTCCAAACTCTAGGAATAGCAATAGCCCAGAAACCCACAGCCACATTCCACCAAGAATTATCCAGAACCAAAGACAAGATACAGAAGGATGAAAGAAACAATATAATTTACAAAATTAGCTATAACAATCGCAACCAATTTTATGTGGGACAAGCATCATATCAATTAAAATCCAGGATTCACAAACACCGCTGGCAATCAAATGCCACAATCCCAAATCCTTCATCTCTATCCACACCCACACCAAACAGCACCAGTTCACACAAAGATCATTAGCCATGCCACCACCTGCCACGCTCATGAGTTCATTGAAGCCTGGCACTCCACAAGCAATTCCATCAATGGACACATTGACCTACAACCAGCCTATGAATCCCTCAGAATCCAAATCAACCTTACAGCCAACCAAAGACAGCACAAACCCATGCAAGCCTCCCCACCACCAGTACTTCACCTCCCAATGACCCTCACCTGAGGTAACTTCTCCATCACAAGACCTATCACAAGTCTCCATTGGTGATTCACACCTGACCCATCACAAGACTCACTACAAGACCCCACTTGACATACCCAAACCTGATCTATCACAAGACTCTGACCTGATGGGACCTTCACCTGATGTGACATCACCATCACAAGACCTACTGACCACACAAATCCCTTATAAACAGAAAAACACTGATTTCTCCTAAATTTCACTGAAGATGTTACTTAGCCTGGTAACAAAATGTTTGGAAACCAACCCACAAGCTCAGAGAACAAATCTTCACCCAGACACCTTATTAATTGTGTTTCCTTTTGCCTTGTTTTTCTGGCCAGATGGAAGGATACTGGACATAAAGCTTTATCTAGCAAGGCCTATTAAGGACCAGTGGCAGTTTGATAAACACAGATATACTAAAATTTGTTGGTTTGTTTGGTGACATTTAAGCTACTGGTAGTAATAGTAATGATTATACAGGACTGGGGATCTGAAAGGCAAACAAAGGACACGTCAGTGAATGCATAGGTGCCTAGGAACACCAAACTGCACATGGACAATATTATCTTTGCAATCATTGATATTTCCAGACTGAGCTAATCAAAGCTCCTTTTATGGACTGACTCATTTGAACTCTGTAAACCAGTCATGTGGAGAACCTGCGACCCTCCAGGTGTTGCTAGAAATTGCAATTTATTGAATTGCATTGCCATATGATTTGTTTGAGTTAAATTTTAAGGCCCTGAAAATGATTGGAAAGAAGTGCCGGGAATGCATTTTTTTTTTCCAGCTAGTGTGAAAGCCAGAAAAAATGAGACTGCTTTAAGGAACAAATGTTTGTGCTTGGGTGAGAGCTGAAGTGATTCTTCCCCAATATTTTCAAAGTATAAAGAATCTTAATAGACATGTCCACCCTGTTTGTTCCTTGACATAGGGAATTGTATCTCAGCAGTATCTGGTGGGTGAGCTATACCCCACTTTCTAATTTCTATTCCACTGCATATTATGATTGGGATGTCTTCCTCTGCAGGCACGATTGGTACCAGTCCTATTTTTTCCTCCTGCTCTTTACAGCTTAGAATGTTAGAAATGGCAGCTACTTCTTAAGTGGCAAAAGCCTGTTTCAAAATATTAGTGGAAAAGCCATCTATACCGGAAGTCCTTGAAGTATCTTCTCTGTAGAATTTTAATTCTATTGAGAAATTAACCCATAA